CGCAATCACCCACCGTTCCAGGAAAGATTCTTCATTTTTCAAGTGTTCTCATCCGTTTTTTCTTTTTTTGATAAACACTTCACTCTCACCTTTACGTTTGCTTTCAAAAGCAACAACCACACCAAGCTGATCGCGAAGTTAACCTTTGAATGCTTCCCAAATACATCCCAGCAAATGTTCAAGAAGACAGCCGCCTGCCAGAGAATGAGCACTTCTAAAGAACGGTGCGGTCAAAACTTTCTTATCTCATTCAGGCCTCACCGGTGGCAAATTGCGAGGGGGGAAGGGGGCTTTTCGTTTCCACCTCTTCAAAGCGCAGGAATTACAAAAGCCATAACCACGCCGAGCTCTCACCAGTTACAAAACTCTTTCTAAGGTAATACCCCTCCACCTCCTATTCAGAAATTACCCAGGAGCGTGATTCCTCAGATCGTCATTTTCTTCTGCCAATCAGTGTTTTTACTGATTGAGACGAAACTTACAACCAAATAACAAAATGAACGAAAAGGAGCGCTGGACAAGTTCGCTAATTCTATTGCGCCGACAAGGGAGCAATAAGGAGTTTGATTAGTAACAGAACTGACTGACAAATGCCTAAAGAAATTGTACACGGTAACTGCGTGAATCTATTTTCCTCCCCTCCCCCCATCCCCCTTGTTGGCTTAAGACTCATTCTACACAATAAATACGAAAAGAACGGAAAAGTGGTGCACATTCCGAGAACTACGAAAATTATCACTCATTCAAATTATCGCCGAAGAACCGTCACCAATGTTGGTGGCTGGGCGCTTCCATTTTCTTTCGAAGTGCTGTCACTAAAAAATCTTTTCCACGTCCTCACCAATGTCGAGAATATTTCTTCTTCTGTTGCATCGTGATTTATCGTGTCAAACTGTTTTGTTGCTTCTCTCTCCATTAGAGTATTGAATACAGTTCCTTCCTACGACTCTTCACCTCGGAAGCCGCACCACGTATTCTGTTCCACGCGCCCCCTTGGCTCCGCACAGGGGTCTGTGAACCGCCCACAAAGCGGTGTTTCGAAGGTTTCGTTCATTTCGAAAAGTGAATTCTCATGTTGGAATCACGGGTCGGAGTGATGATGAAAAGTGATGTGAAAGATGTTTTATGTAAGGAAGGAATCCGACAAGTTTCGTGTACAATTCCCTCAGGAACAAACAGGAAGCACGTGTGGCACAAAGAATGAACATAGTCGGCACGGGTTACACAAAGAAAGTAAACTACACTGGTGTGCAAAACTTAAGGACGGAAGTAACTTTCACATGATATCTCACTGCTAGTTAACCTAGGTGGACCAAATTTGGCACATATATAGAAGTAAATGTTGCGGTACAGTGCAGAGAGTTACTAACAGAAAAGCGCAAAGGGGCGATTGGAAAAGACATTTTTCTGCAAATACCCTGTCTGAAGCGGTCGATAGGTGAGGCTTCTCCAACTCATGGTAGACACTCAAAAGAGAGGAGCTGGTTCTTGATGGGGTGTATGAACACTACGGACTGCAAAGGTATGCTCTGCTACGTGTTCCCATACAGGCCGTAAGATTAGTTAAGAGTTCTTGAGGAGAAGTGACCGATTCCTTGGAGACCGCGATTGACAACTGCAGGACTATTGTTGGTACTATTGTTGGCACATGGTCATGTGCTACAATAGCTCATCTGAATCCACGCCACACGTGCTCCATAGAATTAGACTGGAGGAAATAAATGGCTTCACCAATTACCGAAAATCCTCACTTTTCAAGAGTTTTCCACCCAGGCTGCTCGATACTCTCGCACACTGCCCTCCATACGATTGAAGCTGAGGGCAAGGGAACCCTTGGAAAGATGCACATGACAGAAGGGTACAACACCACAATCACGTTGATCAGAAAGTGTAACGCGATCATGAGTTGGGGATCAGTACGCCCCGACAACTTTATGCCTCCCCACATCATGTCGCATGCACTACCAAAACAATCATGTTAAACGATGGTCCTGGGTAGATTACACGTTCCTATTTTCCCCATATGCAGGTAAGTCCAGAATCACTACTCACATTCAGTTTGCTCTTGACCGGGAAGAATACGCGATTTTTCAATTCGGTGGTCCATCTCCAATGTCTCGGCTCGTACCAAATGTCCCAGCCGAGGCGTGGATTTCAAATGAATACAGGTATTGTTGGTCGATGAGAGAGATCACTCCTAGGCGGTCACTGCGCCACTGTCCGGACTGGGATTACATGCCTTACAATCCTGATAAATGTTTTTGCAACTGCAGCATGTGACTGACGTGGGTCCATTTTTGCCTGTAGCAAAACCTAGCAATCACCTGCTGCTGCGGTTGTTCGTGACCCACAACCTCCTCTTCTTGGGACAGCAGTGGCTGCGGTCCACATTGCTTCTCATGCACAAAAAACAATGCTGTGGTTGACACAAAACTCCTGGACACAACTTCCTTTTTTCAGTTTCCCAATGATTCTTCCTCGCGTAAAGTCACCCTAGTGTTGTCTCTGAGACTTGATGTAATCAAGAACACCACTACATTCCACAGTCACTTCTCCCTGCTTAGTTTACCCCTCTTGTCCTGCCCACGATACCCATCGTTCTGGGTGGCCACCCCATTTAGGCTCCAGATTGAAGCCGGATGCAAGACATATGAGGCCCACTTCGGTGCCCATGACTGTAGGGCTTCTAGCATTATGCCCGTACAGTTTCATCCAATTCCATCTAATTGTTAATAAGTTAGGACAATTTATCTATCTCGTCCTTAAAGCCACGAGTCAGGATTAGGCAACCAGCAGAAGCTCTTCCCAAGGTGCGTAGTGAGCTTCCCCAGCAGTGAGGCCGCGACACCGTCGCGACTCAAAAGTGCGCGGCAATGGCGCTAAGGCCTTGCCCGCCGCGCTGCCAGCGTAAGCCATCATGCGCATACGTGGTCTCTGCGTCTCTCACGTATGACGTACTATCTCGCGTTCTCCCTCTCCTCGCAGCGCTGTGTCTCTCCGTCGTACTACGGCCGGCCTCCTAAGGGAAATTTAGTGTTTTCTATGGTGCTTTTTGCTTTTTCTCCTCACTAATGTTCCTCATTGCACCCCTTGCCTAATGTTTGAATAAAATAACGCATCGATTTCAATCCCGACTCGTGCCTTTAAGTTTTGCACACCAGTGTAGTATATGAATTGGACAAAAAACAAACTGGAGTGAACAGAATGCGACCAAGGACAATAAACTTGAAGTTGGGATTCAATTTAGCCCTGTCCTTTCACTTTTCCTTAAAGTCCCTAGGGGGAACTATTTTCACGGACTACTCGGATCCTAAAGAAAAAACACTTGGAAAAGTTGGATGCATTTTGTGTGTACAATATGTAGAGCCAGGCCTTGAAGGTTAGTGCTACGTTTTTCGCAAACAACTTTGAAAAAATTGAAATTGCATAAATGATACCCAAACGCTGAATGCATACACATCAGAAGGTTACTTAATCTAGACTCTTCCGAGACCGCATTATGAATTCTTGATTTTAGCCCCGTCCAGCCAGCTATTACTTCTATCTTTATTTTCCACGGGTTTTCTCATTTCTCCATTCAATTGGCCATTGTCAAGCAGATTGAACATTTTTCCACTGCCAGTCTCTCATTGACTATGAATGGAACTGCATGGAGTTCTCGGATATGGGTCTGCGGGGCATTAACACATTCACGACGGCGCCCCTTTTCCACTTTTCGGTCGCGTGGGACGGACGCGATTTTGTGGGCGCCGCCGCCTCACCACACATCCGCAGATTTTGTACTGTAAATGAACAAAAACATGAATGTCACAAAATAATTTCTGCAATGTCCAATGCGTAAAGATTATCTAAACATATAACAGTAGGATTTCGATCAGAACGACGAATAGTGGTTACGAAAAGAGAGCATTTATTCACTTTCCCCGTGAAGGAATTTAAATTTTACACTCGATTACGAGGTTTGCCCACCTATCTGTCCATTCCTAGCGCCTGGCAAGCGATTATCAGCTGGCAGCCCATATGGGCTGCCATCGTCCCAGGAGCACATGTTGTTGGCAGCCCATATGGGCGGCCATCGGCGTGAATGTGTTAAAGTTACCGATGTCAAAACAGCGCTACTTCGGGTAACAGGAGCTTTGGCTCAAAAAGCGGTGGCCACTCGTTATTTTCAGAAAAAGGGGAGAGCTTTGAAGGAAGCAATATTTGTCATAGAATGCATAGAATGAGCTTACGTTAGCTTCCAAAACACAGCATTCCTTTACGTTTCTCGCAGCTGAGCCGGTCGTAATTGCTGACCCAGAACCACTACATACATATGGCGAATGTTTTGGTAAAAATCGATACCATCGGGCTTTTCTTTTAAATGTTCTTGATGCTACTGGAACCCATGTAGTACAGTCGATATCTCGAAGTCTGATTGGGCGTGTCACCGGAAATGACGTGGCAGCCACCGCACTTGATAGAAGTTGCGCGGATAAGCTGCTTCCAACACGCTTTGCTGATATCTGGCGGAGTATTTTATCCACACAACATCTATCAAGTGCGGTGGCTGTCATTTCCGGTGACACGCCCAATCAGACTTCGAGATATGGATTGTACCAAGATGACAAAAGGATTCGACAGTGCAAAATAAGCAATGAATCAAAGGTGAGTCCCAGCCCGCAATTACGATAGGCCCAGCCGTGGAAAACAGTGAAGCTCTGAGGATGGCCTGTTTTAGCTGAGCAATAAATCGACCACACCCCTCCCACTTCAGCGCGTAATTCCCTGCTCCTACTTACATCTAGTCGAATAGATAAACGCTACCACATGGCCACATCCCTTTAAGAAGTTTGTGCAAAAAAGAGCGAAAGCGTTTTGGGCGGAGAGAACTGGTTACATTGATTTTATAGTGGCGAGCGTACAGTACAATACCAGTACATCATCTCCCCCTCCCAGAAGAGATGTCAGGTAATCACACGCGTCAGTAATCATATCTATTGCCGAAACACCTACTTACCCGTTGCCATTTCACACACCAGCACATCGTGTTCTTCTCCGATGCGTTCCGGGGTGTATCGACTGTATTCTCGGAACAGAGCTGACATGGCTGCAGTTCGACGTCGGGCCTCCACCGTGTCGATCTGCAAAATATCTCATCACCAAATTACGTGAAAAAAAAGTTCGAACCGTTCTGTACAAAAGTCGGAAAACTTAATGCCGTAACCATTTTTGACCCCTTACCCTTACCCAGGCCAAGCAAAGGTCCGCGATCTTGCACGGGTAAATACAGTTTCAACAGCCACTTCTAATTTGCACTGATACAATTTTCAGGCATTAGCTTGGCCAGTTCATTTAGTCGCACACATTCATTTTGAACAGTCTCCTATTTCATGAGGAGATTGACAAAACTTCTGCCACTCCAAACATCAAAATTAAAATTATAGCGGAATAATTAGTGCCCACAGCTCAGGACTCAGGCGATACCGCGATTAAAGGAATGTATGAATGAGTATCATCTGAATTTTGGCGACTGGGTGATAAATCTGGCAAGGATTAGATGCGCAAAATTGTCATTAAGCCCGCCCTATGATCATTCGTTGATGCGGTGGGTCTGAGCGCGATCGCCAAGTCGCTGTAACGCCGTACTGCCAGATCGGGAGCTGTGAAAGCTATTAAGTGTAAGCCAGGGATCCCACCTGAAAACATCTGCTCCTCTGACTTCTATGAGCAGTGGGGGGAAGAGGGTCGAAGAAATTGGAAGGTAGCGTGTGGCTCACTAGGGAACCGCGTAATCAACCACAACCTTCGATTTCTCGTGGTGACAAATTTTTGCATTTCGAGTTGACGTTCCAAAATTCGCGCAAAATGGAGTTAGCATGAATAATTAGTACCATATATTCATGATTAGGACCGTCAGTAACCCTTACAAATAGACTTTGATTAAAAAACTGGTGAAAAAGGTGTGACACCACAGTGGGGCTGCTTGGTGTCACACCTCTTACACCAATTTTTGAGTCAAAGTCTTTTGTAAGGGTTACTGACGGTCCTAATCATGAATATGGTACTAATTATTCATGCTAACTCCATTTTGCGCGAATTTTGGAACGTCAACTCGAAATGCAAAAATTTGTCACGAGGAATCGAACTAGGGACCCCTTTTTTCTGGTATTCAGAGGGCCGTTCAGGAAAAATTAACCATGGTTCTGTGGTTCCCGCATGTGCCCCTATATCATGCAAAAGACCGTTTTCAAAAAGCTTGGCACGCCCTGAAAGACCTTCCTGGTAGAGGAGGTCGATATGACATCTCTCTCTCTCCTCTAAAAGAGGTCCCGATACAACCCTACCGCCACCAGTCTTAGCGGATACCTAAGGGAACCTCCTACCCACCCCTGGACCCACTGTCACATTTCACACTTTTGTCATAATTCGCAAAAATCGTAAAAAAAATGAGGGAAAACGAACCCCTTCCTTCTTCAACCACTTTCTCTTGAAGTTCCCCTCCAAAACCCAAACTGCGACCCCTGGCGGGATTGCGTGACGGTTACTTGACCCTATTCATAACAGTTCATTGTGTTACCCCTCCAAGTCGGCAATTCAAAGTATTAGCCAGTCCCCTCGCCTGTTACCGTCAAAAATGCAGATGAGTCCAGTTCTCTTTCAGGCCTCTGCAATGTGAATAATGAGACCGTCGGCCTCGTCTATCACCTTTTTCATTCTTGCCGCTGGTGTGCCAGACCGCGGATAGAATTGATTAATGAAAAGTGACGGAAATTGGTAGTCTCGAACGAGCTGCATGCTTTCCTCGAAATCTTCTTCCGTCTCCGTTGGGAATGCACAAATCATGTCCGTCGCTATGTAGATCTTTGGCACCCTGCAAACTTTAAGAAATTATTGCGGTAATCTTTCGGCGGCTGAAAACCACCACTTCTGAGCAGTCGCTCAAAAAGGGGCGTAACATGTGTAGCAGCCAGGGTGAATAACGGTCGAAGGAAATCCTCGACCATAGCTCTGTACTGTGCGAGAGTAGTGCCGAGAGTGAACGTACGCGCGGAGAGCACAGACGGCTCGCGCGTGGCGAGAGTGAATGTCCGCGGGAAAGGGTGACTGAAAGGCGAAAATCCTCGACCGCTTTCCACCCTAGTGGCAACGTTTATAGTGCGTCAGGCCCCCCTCAAGGTCACTGCGCCGAAATTTGGCCACAGCGCGCGCCGATCGACTGAGGTGAGTCCAGTGAGCAATGAATATGAAAAGCACGTGTTATAACATATAAAACAATCAAATGCCGCTAAGATTGCGTCTT